GGCACCATCAGCTTTCTTCACCACATTTGCTTATGCACCCACTTTGTCTTCAACGATTGTGCCAGGAAGGTGAGCATCATGGAATGCCAGTTTAATAGAACAAAGTGTTCTTGCATTGAGGGAGTACTTGAGTAGAGGCACAATGTCCATTTGCTACTTTAATACTAAACCTATAAATATATGCACATAGATCTATTTCCCCATCATCATATATAAATATATTTACATAGTACATGTCTGTATTTAGACCTCTACAAATGCCCTTTGCCTCCTAGTTCTTCCCTTTATTTCCTTTTACTTCCCTCTTGTCCCACTATCATGTTCAGCCTTCATTTGGGTTTCAGGAATTCCTCTGGGTTACATTGCCCTTGATCAAGCCCTACCAAGCCTCCTACACCCTCCTCACCACCGATTTTGGTTCACTTGTTGTTCCCTTGTCCCTGGGCTTGTTAACACCCACTTCCTTTCCCCCGCCTTTAAGGCTGTATTTCTCTCTAGAAGAAGACTGACTCATTTGTCTCCCTTGGCACAGCTGGTGGATTTGATCCACACTCTTCCAATTAGCAGCTGCGCTCAGTGCTCTTTAATGATAAATATAAGGCAGGATTTGGAAGCGCAGGCACAGGAGCAGAGTGTGATAGAGGGGGAGAATGAAAAACAAACAAACAACAAACTTGCTGCCATCGAGGCAATTCTGACCCAGGGTGACCCTCTGGGGCTGGAACTGGCCCGGTGGGTTTCCCAGACTGTTACCCTTCATGGGAGTCCAGAGCTTCAACCTTCTCCCATGGAGCAGCTAGTGGATTTGAACCTCTTGCCCTTGAGGTTAGCAGCCTAATGCTTAACCCACTCTGCCACCAGGGCTCCTGGGGGAGAATTAGGGCTGTTTTAATATCACCTTGACTCAGGCAGGGAGACTTTACTGAGTTGGGGGGGGTGGAGGGCACTAGGGAGCTGCAGGGCTAGTGCACTGTGCCTGAAGCACAGGGAGTCAGATCATGTGGCATGCATGTCAGCTGCATGCTGCAGTCGTGCCTGACGCCATCCTGCAGGGATGCAGAGTCATGTTGACGAATCCCCCGGTGGCCCAGGGCAGGAGCGGGAAACCTCTCTGCCCTCCACGGTGGAGGAGACTGGCCTTCCCTGGCTAGCTGAGTGTGATCCTGAAGTGGAGACCACTGGACATACCCTCTGCTCTTACCCACACTGCAGTCATCCCCTTGCCAGGAAGGCGGGCACACACAGTGGTACCCTCGACGGGTGGCCTCCTCCGCAGTGCAGTTCCCATCATGAAGGCAAGGGCTTGTGGCACAGCTGTCACCTGCAAACACAGCCCGGGAATCCAGCAGTCAGTCCCACAGGAGATGAAAAGACAGCTCTAAGTCCAGGTCTAGTACTCTCAGCTACTATTTGATTCTTCTACCTTTCTGTTTCAGTACCCTAAAAGGCCACCCTCCTAGGATACCATGGGCTCCCAAGAAGTACAGAAGGCAGGTGCAGTGGGCCCGGCCACCGCCGCTAGTTTGCATATGCCAACTCTCGGAATCTAACTGGGCCTCCACACATTGTGCCGTGATCAGAGTGGAGTGCTTCAATCGCCCTCTCTCATCACCTAATGGGAAAATCAGCCGCACCTGGATTCACTTAGTCCAAACCACACAGGCTGCGAAGCATCGGGGCTCCCGGGGCCGGGGCAGGGACCCCAGCTCTGTGCGGTCTCTGTAGACCTGGCAAGAGCATGTGCTGGCAATGGAACACCCCACCCTCAAGTTGATGCCGGCTACAGAGATGCTCTGGGACAGAGCCAGACTGCTCCCTGGGCGTCTGAGAGTGTACATTTGCAAGGCACACTCTCAGACCAAGTCCCAAACTCACTGCCCGGAGCCGGTGCTGCGTCCCAGCGACCCTCCTAAAGGACAGGGTTGACCTGCCCTGTGGGTTGCCCAAATTATCACTCTTTACAGGAGTAGGAAGCCCCGTCTTTCTCCTGTAGAGCGGCCGGTGGTTTCTAACAGGTGACCTTGCGGTTCACAGCCCAACGCGTGCCCCACTACGGCTCCTGGTGTACCATGTTCTAGGGGCGTTCTAGAAAAGCTGAAACTCACAGCATACGTCTGCAGCCTGCAAGGAGCCAACCAAGGGTGGAACGAGAGAAGAGTCCAGAGCTCTTGCTCCAAAACGATCTCTCGGAGAGCCAGACGGCTGAATCTTCAGGTGGCACCGCCCTCTTTCAGTGCGACCTTAGCATTGCCCCTGAGCACTCCCACGAAGCAAATGTGACTGGTCAGAGAAGGGCTCTTCATACGCGCCCACAGCTACCATCCGCCTGACTTCTGGATTCCAGTCCCTGGACCAGCTTCAGGGGGACTTGTGAAGTGGGTTCTGGGATGAGAATATATCTGGCCTTTCTGCTATGACACGGGACTCCCCATTTCCCTGGAGAATGAGCCACCTTTTCCAGAGGGACAAAGAGGGGGCCCTGGGCCTGCTTGTATTCTGGGGGTGGGCACCTCCCCGCCCTACCTTGCTCCTCACCCCACCCCCACCCCCTGCCGGTTGCTCGAGGTGGCCTGATTGAGACAGTCAGTAACCGAGTGCCTGCTCTGTGTGGACCAGCCGAAGGGCCAATTCTGAACGTGGCATCACGTGGCTGTCTCATGTCACTGCCCCTGCGGCTCTGTAATGGTTCGGCATCACCCAGAGGGCAGCATTTCCTCGCCCTTTCACACACACACAGGGGAACCTCAAGCACATACGTATTCCGAGCAGCCCTGGTCATGCGGTGGCTATGGAAAAGGGGGAGGTCACTGGACGGGCTTATGGGAGCTGCCCCTCTCCCCAGGCCTGCATTTCAAGTAGTAGCGTGACCGGAGGGGGAGGGAGCGGCCTGGACTTCCTCTGGGTCACAAGGACTCTCCCTGGCGTGGAGGGGAGGGAGCCCGCCCGTGGACAGAGGCTCTGGCTGGGATCTGGGAGGAGGCAGACCCATTCTGAGCCTCACAGACAGGTGAGGCGGCAAGACTGTTTTAGTGCAGTCTCCCCTCCCTCGGAGCCACACTGCTGCCCTTCTCTGACCTTGGGAGAGTGAAGGCCACGCTCCAAAGCTCCTGCAATTACAGAGCATTAAAAGCTCCCTCGGCACTCTCTGTGAAGGTCCTATAAGCCAGTGTGTCCTCTCCTCTTCCTTCAGGGAGAATTATGTAAGTCTTGGGTGGGCCCACCATGACATTATTTCATGCTGTAAGTGCTTCGACAGGAAGCATCTTAGATCAGGAAGAAACAGACTAGCTGCTTGCACACGTTCCCTGACACCCCGTCTGCACGGTTTTCTGTGCTCAGTGCGGCGGAGCCTTACCCGAGGCTGGAGACGGCAATGCCCTTGGGGACTGCGTGCTGCCCTGAGCGGGGATGGTGGTGGACGGCAGAGTCGATCCTGGGGCCGTGGAAACATCTGTGGTTTGGGGAGGCGGCGATGCCTGGGAGGGACGTGAAGCTGGGCTGTGTGCCTCTGTAAAGGCACGCCCTGGGCTGGCTTCTCTTGCTGATGCGGGGGTCCTGGTCAGAGGGACCGGACTGGTGGTAGAATCCGGATGGATGAGGGTTCTTTCTGCGGTGACAGCACCCTGCGTTGAGCTGTGAGGCACGAGGGTCTCAGGACTGGGGGGCATGCGCTGTGTCCCAGCAGCTGTCTGCACTATGGTGGGACTACCCAGCAGAGCCCCAGTGCTGGACGGGAGGCCGACAGCAGTCAGCAGAGGATGAGTGGTTTTGGGAGTGGGGGCTCTCAGAGCTGGGGACGTGCCGGCGAGGCGGGTCCTCGTGACTGGGAGGGTTTGCTTGGGGGATGGTTGTGTGAAAGCTGGGGACAAAGGGACTCCAGCAGGAGAGCCCGTTGTTGTCACAGGTTCGGCGGATGTTGTCGGCAAAGACTTTGGCGCCGCCATGATTTCCTCCTGGCTCCTAGCGTCTGCTGTTTGACTGCTGTGGGGCACTGCCAGGGAGGATGCCACTGTCCACGTCCCAGGTGACGTCCCAGAAGTCTCCTCTGCGCTGGGCAGGATTTGGGTGCCAGCTGGATGTGAGACTGTTGCTTGTGAGCTCGAAGATGGGGCCGGGGTGGATGCCCTCAAAGATGTCGTCGGTAAGGGTGACGGCGAAGAAGACCAAGGCGCCTCTGAGGTAGACATCAGTGGAGGAGCAGAGGCCCCAGTTGATGGCGGGGTTGATGCAAACCACGGGTAGACCTGTGACACCGAGGACAGAGGCCCCGGGGGTTCTGATGGAGAAGAGGAGCCACCAACCGACCCGGGGTCCACATTCAGAAGAACCAAGGTGTTGGGCACATTCACGGTGGGGGTGTAGGGTGGAGGGTGGGAAGAAGGTACCACCAGCGACTCGGTGGAAGGCTGAGGGTAGCCCCGGTCGTGGGGTGGGGCACGACTTCTTTCCGTCCGAGCATGAGATGCAGAAGGACGTTGCGAAGGCGGAGAGTTGGCGGTCTCGATAGACGAGGCGGCGCTGTCCCTTGTGTCGGAGGACGAGGTGTTCTCGGTGACGGGCAGCAGCGCCCGCCCTCCTTTGGTAAAGGTGGATGAGATGTAGGTGTGGTCCGTGTGGTCACTGTGTGTCCTCTGGTCGGCGTCTGTGCCACTCGCTCGAGCAGCATGCGTGCCGGGGGCTGCCGAGGGAAACACACAGTGAGGTCCCCTCAAGTAAGAGACACAGAAGGGGCAGCCTTGCCATGCCCTGACCATGACTATAGGCACGGGGGATCATTTCCTGGGGAGGAGAGTGTCAATGACAGGCTCTCCTCCCGAGAGGCCCTGGTCATCCAAGAGCAGTGGGGGCTGGAGCCCAAGAGGAGGGATTGGGTCCCAATCCCTTCCCCGTGCCTTGCGTGGTTAACTCACATCGGTATCAGAAAAGGTCTCCAGTTCCCAAAGAGAGCAACTGTTACGCTCAAATGGAAAAAGGAAGCCTTCGTGACTTTCCATCAGGCACGGTGAGGTAGTGCTTTCCCAGGACACTGGCTTGAGCCACATCGTGGCCGGTGGCCTTTACTTCAAGCCTCCCGACAGGCACCACCCCAAGTGCCCAGGCCAGTGAGCTGGGGTGGAGGTGGGCATGAGGACTGGGGGAGACCCCAGAAAGTTCTCTTCAGAAAAGCACTCTCTGGGTGGACAGAAAGCATAACCCCTCTCCGGCTGAGTGAGCGGACAATGAGCGGAAGGAAGGTGGGGACAGAGGTTCTGCGGAGGGCACCTCACCTGCAAGGACGCGCGTGGCAGCCAGTGGACCCGAGGCCAGGCCTGTGTCCTCCGTCATGCCCCCGTGCCGAGCGGGGCTCTCGGTTTCCCTCGGCACGGAGGCGGGGCTCCCCACGTCCCCAGAGGTTGTGCTCCCATTGGTGAGAGCACGCAGCGTCTGCTCCCCACTGCCGGTGAAAGTCGCGGACGTGTGTGGGCTGAGAGCGTGAGCCCCGTGGGTCTTTCCCTGTGGGTCTGAATGGCCTCCCAGCTCACGGCTGTCTTCCATGGCTGAGAGAAGATGGGAAAAACAATGGCCCGTAAATGCAAGGACTGGTGGTGGTGGGAGCAGCCACCTTCAAGTCAGAACCAAACACAGCGTGAGCCAAGGGGTTTTCTTTGGCTGATTTTCAAAAGTGGATGGCTAGAACGTTCTTCCAAGTCTGTCTTCATGTGGCCACCCAGTTACACACACACACACACACCTCACTACCAGGTGGGTGGTGGCTGCACATCCGGCTCCCTGGCTGGACTTGAACGGAGGTCTCCTGAATCCTCACTGCCATGGAGGCTATGCTAGGCCAGGAGGAAATTGACAAGAGGTTGCCCAGCCTGCACAGCGTCGTGGGAGCAGACAGCCTCATCTTTCTCCCTTGGAGCAACTGGTGGCTTCGAACCCCCAACCTTGAGGCCAGCAGTCCAATGCTTGCCTGACAGTGCCACCAAGATGAGAAGTGCCCGGAAGGGGAGAGTTCGACCACTGAACCACACCACGCCACCGGCCCCAGATAGAGAACCACGGCGACAGGAAAACAGAGCCCAGAAAGAAGCCTCGTGGCTGGACGACAGGGCCAAGGCACGTCCCTGTGCTACCTCAGGGTCTCTGGCTGCGAGCGACAAGGTCAAATATGTGTTGTTCTCACAAGGACATAGCAGTGACTGGAGCCTCCAGGGGAACCAGCATACTGTGCCGCTGACCTGGATTGATGGTCCGCTTTATGGTGTCAGCGAACACGATCAATGCCGAATTTCTGCCGAGTGACACATCATAAAGAGAAGTCGGGAAAATTGGTTGTGTCTGCAAGAGAGGTGAGCGGTTCACACAAGACTAACACCCCGCTTGGGGCTTTCAATATCCCGAGGAGGCCCCCAGGGGAGGCCCGAGTTACTCAGAACGCGTTCATCTCTTGCTAAGACCTGCAACACATGCATTAGCGAGGGACCGCTCACTCTGTGCTTTCAAATATCGCTGAGAAATGGTCTGGCGGTTGGAGGTTAGCGGTGGTTTGCTTTTGCTTGATTACTTTCCTAATGCGTTTGCTCTGTTTTACTGACAGGGAGGGCAAGGGGACAAGGACACATGGATCTATATCCTTCCTCTGGGGGTAAATATTACGCTACAGGCGTCAAGAGCCTTAGAATGAAAAGGGCCAACGGATGACTAAAGAACTCCTCTTTTCAGATATGAAAAAGATGGGTCCCGATCCCTTCTTGGTCAAAATAGCTCACAGTTTGACTGAGAGAGAACAGGCTCTGTTGTTTGAGATTATTATTTCCATTCCCAACCCAGGCTGCCCCTTAACAACCCGTTGGCACGCTTCTTGATGGCAAATGGATGTACAGGCGAGTTTCACGTAAGATGATACAGGTTAAAATGCCCCGCCCAGCAGGAATGAAAGCAGCACGGGGATGTGCAGACACAAGAGCAGCAAAAGGTCTTGACTCTGGTGAGTGACCTCCAGGCAAGCCACCCTGTCAGGGCCACAGACGGCGCCGAGTGGAGAATCGGCCCCTGAAGCGGGGGCCGTGTCTGACGAAACGAGGGAACAAAGGCGGGCCCTGATGTGGGATCGCAGAATCATTCAGCTCTGGCAGATTCTGAAGCAAGAAGATACAGCCCCGGGACCCCGCTGTGAGATGTATCAAGAGCGAGGCAGGCTACTGCTTCTCTGGCTCTTCATTGTTGCGCTCCCAGATCCACTCCCATGGAAATCCCATTTTCTCGACTAACCAGCTGAGCTCGTAGTGCAGAGAGAAAAGGGAGACTGCAGAGATTTAGCAGCGGGAAACCCCATGGGACCCAAAGTCAGGCAGTGTGAGGAGGTACAATTCCGAGCCCCACAGCGGTCAGGGTGGAAAAGAATTCCTTTTGTTTTGGAGACAAATACCGTGCTTTCCATGCACAGATGCGGAAGAGCACAGCTATGTGTGGCCATTCTTTCAGGATAAGCACATACTTTCCCACTTCACGAGCTGGAAAACAAATGCTGATTTTCCTCAGCAATTACGATTTTCACACATGGGAAATGGAGCTATTATTATTAGTGGCGGAGAAGCAAGAATTTAAGCCCATGATAAGCTTCAACGATAAGCAAATGAATTTTTGCTTTGGTCTACACATGCTTTATATTGATAAGGTTGCTTAGGGTTGGGTTTTTTCCCCCTGATTACTTTATATAAACACATTATTAAAGAGGAACAATAAAGCAAAAAAGGGAAATTGGTCAACTAAGCTCACCTGGAAGAAGCACACCCATATCCATGATCTAAGGATTGTAAATTATATAATCCAAATCTGAAGGAGGGAACAGCATCAGAGTTTAAATTGTGAGATTGTGGTGTGCATGCAGAAGGCTCTGGATGACCGTGGAAATCCAAAATACATTTGCAAGAACTACACAGGGAATAAGCCTCTGGTGATTTCCCTCTGACCATACCTGAGTGCTGGGAATAACCTGGTGTGATCAGACAGAGTACTGTAGAGACGACTAGTAGATTAGAATGGTAAATCTGACTTGAATGGTTAAAACCTTGTCATCTGATCATCTGATACACTTTGTGCTTGATATGGTTTTTGTTACTTTCTATATTTAGGGTTTTTTTCATATTGGGTTTTAATCTCTGTTGTATTTTGTCATGACTGGTAGCCCATGACTCTTTGTTGTGTATTTTTCTATGTTTTTCGGTATATGAAACCCAGGATTGATGGATCTATAGAGACAAGAACTAGAGTAAGCGTTCCTGAGGAGTATGGCAGGGGAGGTGAGTGGGGATCATGGGGAGCTGAATTCAAGGAGTACAAGAAGGAAGAAGGTGGTTTGAAACTGATTGTAGTAGCAATTGTACCATAGTGCTTGACATGAGTGAACTGTGCAATGGTATGATGTCTGGATTAGGGCCTAATACAATGGCTTGAAAGAAAAAAAAAAGAGAAACTGGACACATCAAAACACAAAACTTTGAGGCTGCAAATGATAGCATCAAAAGGTCAGGAAAGATATCCCCTCGATGAAAGAGCATCAGCAAGTTATCCAGGATGACTATACTCTTACAACGAAACAATGACAACTCAATGACTCAAATGACAACTCAATGAAAAAACATAGGCTCTGAAGAGGCATTCCCAAGGCAGACAGACAGAGGCATTCCCAGGAAGACAGACAGAGGCATTCCCAAGG